ATATATTCATGTATCGACATATACACAAAAACCATAAGAAATATTCACCAAACTCAACGTCACCCGTTAGATCCTCATTTCTTCTTGCCAATAAGTTTGAGCAATAAACCGAAATAAACGGTAGATAAGACACTCCGTGTATAAAATCATAATGAAAGCATAAATCAATATCAAACGAACACTAAAAAAACTACTTTAAAAAAAATACATCCAGAGATTATTCAAGCTTCCAACTTCAAGAAACTATACCATAGACACACATTAAATAAACATCGAATTAACCTAAATTGCTCCAATCTACACTTCTCATGTATACAACTTATAATTAGTTTGCACATTCACCGGTACAAAACTAATGTTTCTTATAAAAGATACATTAATTCAAATCAAGCCCATCACCACCAAGATTCATAATATAGTGATCAAAGAAATGCCTGGAATGCCATCGAACTACATATACTCATTTACAATCTCATAGGCAAAAACACTACTCATACATTTACCACCTCCATAACAAGGAAATTAAGCAGAACCCCACATTAGATAGACCCAGATTTATTTATTTATTTTCTAATAGGCCGAGCACAGTCAAAGAAAACCAAAATCCGCAATCAGATAAACAAGAAACATCAACCTAGAATGCTAACAACGAAAAAAATCCACCATGTACATTGAACGAGAAGCGACTTAGGAACCTGAACCAGCTGACGTTTTGGTCGAAGCAAAACTGGGAGGTGAGTAAACGAGAGCTGCAATCATGGCGTCGGGAACCACGTTGTACTTCGCGCCACCAGCAGCTTCGCGACCAACGGATCCCCCTTCATAAGACCACCAAGGACCATGGCCTCAACTTTTTTTTCGCCTATTTTTTGCTTTTTTTTTTTTCATACCAAGTTCTGAACCACAACCCGACTAATCATGGACCCTGAGCCGGAAGCCCCCTACCCGACCCTGGGGGTTAAACCGCGAAACTTGCTACAACAATGGTCCAGCTGCTCAACTTTTTACCCTTGGGCACCAGAAAGTAGGGCTGAGCACGGGTCGGTTCGGTTCGGAGATCCAGAAATCTCCATAACCGAACCGAAATTCAGAGATTTCAAAAATTGGATCTCTGGAACCGAACTGGTTCTAATGAATCTCCAGACCGAACTGAACCGAATTTCGGTTCGGTTCGGTTCTAATGGGTCGGTTCGGTACAGATCGAAGATTTCAGAGAATTTTTATTTATTATTATTATTATTATTATTATTATTATTATTATTATTATTATTATTATTATTATTATTATTATTATTATTATTATTATTATTATTTAATAAAATCTTCTAATTGCATGTTAGATGGTGCATATCATGGATGAAAGAAAATCATAAACCTATCTTAATTTCAAAAGATATTTTGTCAATTAATAGTAAGAATAGATGGTTGAATTTTTATTTTATTTTATAATAAAGTGATAATTATCTCTTAGTTGCAAAATACCATAATTTAATTTGAAAGATTTATATGCTAAACGTTTATATGCCAAAGAATTAGTAAGTGATAAGACTACATGAACAATAGTTCATTTAAAGATAGTTACTTGTTAAATAAAAGGATATTTTAGAAATATATTATGTCTAAATAAATTAATTTATTCCGGCCGATATCGTGAGATTCAGATATAGTACATATAAAGTTTATTATCGAAAAGTGAAGATATTTATTTTAACTATAAATTTAATCAATATATACGTTCTTAATCTAATATTATGGTAAAAATATCTTTCAAATTATTTTTATTTTAGAATATATCACCTTTAAATAAATAATTTTTTCCAAGATTTGTGAAAGACTTAAGTCATAAAGGTCGGTTTCCCAAACATTCGGTATTTAAATTTTATTAAGTTATATTTAATAATTTTCTTAATAAATTATTTGACATGTTGACTATCGAATTTTGTAATAGGAAGAGTATATTAATTAATTTAAAAAAAAAACAAAAAATAAAAAATGAGATCTTAGATTTAATAGTGTATCATAAGTAGTACCAAAATAAAATAAATATTTTCCCGTTTTTAAATTATGTTAACGTTCAATAGTGGATGTTTTTTTCGCAACTCAATTTGAAATATAACTCATGATACTTTTATGGACATATACATAGAGTATAGATTTTATTTGAATACAATTATGTATAAAGAGGAAAAAAATACATATGATACAATATAATATAAATATATATGGATTTTATGAATTAGAATCGGTTCTTGTTCGGTTCCTCGGTTCGGTACGGTTATTTTTGGTTCGGTTCGGTTCTCGGTACGGATATTTTATGAATCTCCAGAACCGTACTGAACAAAATTTCGGTACGGTTCGGCTTGGAGATAGTCAAACAGTCAACGAATATTTTTCGGTTTGGGGTGAATGCGGTATGGTTCGGTAATCTCCGAGACCCGTGTTCAGCCCTACCAGAAAGTATAATGCCAGAGAAGAATTGCTTCTCATGGGGATCGAACTCCCCAGTCCCCACGCAGTGCTTGCAGGCCCAGCGTAGAGCGCCCTTTCCACCGCTGCGTTGTTTTTTATGGAAATCGCTGCAGAACAATACCTCAATTTTCTTGTTGCTGGCTGATGAGCTAGGAATTAGTGTAGTAGAATTAGAAGGAAAAAATAAAAGAAATTTAAGTTGGGGTCTAAATTTAGATAAAAGGAAAAATAAAGAAATAAGGAAAGAAGAAGAAAGAGATAGGAGACGGGATAATTAGGGCGTCATTGTTTAAATTTTGTACAGTAAATATCTCACATAAAATTTAAACAATTCAATTTCACTATCTCCAATATCATCAATATAATTAAATAATATCAACTAATCATTATTATATATCACATTAACTTTAATTCACTATTCATCCACTCACATAATTCTAACTAACCATCACTTCTAATCATTTTCTCCTACTTTCACTACAAAAAAACCTCTTACATTCCAACGGAAATTTTCCGTTGGAATTCTTTATATATCCGTTGGAATAGGTATTCCAACGGATATTCCTACGTATAAAAATTAGTAGGAAAAATGGCCGTTGGAATAACTAAAATCCAACGGAAAATCCTATGGAAATAAATTCCTACAGCTATTCCAACGGAAAAAATCCGTTGGAATTCCTCAACCATCCAACACTTTTTCCAACATAAAATTAATTTTGTTGGAATATTCATTGGAATTTCCAACGGAAATTTTTTCGTTGGAATTTTTCGTTGGAATTGAAGTGTTTTATTGTAGTGTTTTACATCAAATCAACTTTAATTATTTTAATTTAAATATTATTTTAATATATCCACTAACAACTAACAATATTTTTTTAAAAAAAAATTAACTATAGTTTAAAAAAAAAATTACTAATTGAATTCATATCTAGTCACCCACTTAATAATTGAGTAGAAGGGCAGATAGTGGAATTGAAATTTTTACAAATTCCGTAGTTGTGACTTCAGTAAGTCTGATTGCGAAAAATATTTTAATCTCATTAAATGGGCCATATAAAAACTTGGGCTGGTGTCGAAGGGTAATTAAAGCAAAATTAAAACCAAGTAACCCAAAAATATTTTAGTGGGCTTAAGGATTTGGGCTTATCTAATGGAGCATGTACCACGAAAGAAAGTCAATCGGTAATGCCAAACCATATTCATCATACCTTACTATTTTTTTGGAGGAAATTACCTAGTGCACTTTACAATACCTACTTTATTACATAAATGG